GACGACGTTGGCGAAGGGCCCCGTCGTCGAGGCCGCCGCGGACGCCCTCGAGGCGTGGGCGCAGGCCCTCCGCGAGTTGAAGCAGCAGCAGATGGTGGTGGAGGGGATCCGAAAGGACGCGGAGGCCTCGCAGCGGATCTCCGCCGAGATCGCGAGGCAGATGGTGGAGCAGCACGACGCCCTCCGCGGGCGGCGCGCCAGGCCGGACGACGAAGACCAGGCCGAAGAAGGAGAGACGGAGACGGAGACAGGGAAGGCGGAGGCGGTAAAGGGGGGGGAACCGCCGACCCAAAGGCAGGGGCCGCCCCTCCTGGCTCGCAAAAGAAGGTCCACTTCCCTAATTCGCACTATATTTACTCCTCCGATGTGATTCTTTCGGATCGCCCCGGAGAGCGCCCCGTGGGGATCACCAGGGGTCGCGCAGGAAACCCTCCAGGGTGGGGAACCGGCTGCCCGCCCGCTCTCCTTTCGCGGCTTTTTGATCGCGGCGGGGGCGCTCTTGACGAAGGGGTCGCGCGGGAGATTTTCGCCTCCCTTCTTCACCTCACCCCACGCGGGAAAGGGAGGGTAGGGGGTGAGGATGATGCTTTTATCACCGCGGCCGAGCTCACCGCGTTGCTGCTTTCGGCGGAAACGGCGGCAGGAGGGGCAGCGGCGCGTGGCGAGGCGGCGGCTGAAGGGGCGACGAATTCTCTCCCCGCGGATAGTGCCTTTCGAAAGATGCTTAACACGCACGATACCTTCCAGCAAGAGGCCCGTGAGAAGGCGATGCGTGGTCGCGCCGAGGACGCTATCGCCCGCTACGACTTTCGCGAGAAGGGGTGTCTGTACTTTGATGAGTTTTGCCTCGCTCTGATGAATCTCTTCAAAACTCAAGCATGTGTATAGTTTGGGGTCGCTTAGATTTGCACCTATCGCCTCGTTTTTTTTTCTTTATTTTTAAAAAGAAGATGTTTCCTACCGTGTACACCATTTTTTCCTACAATCTTTTTCATGTAATTTAGGCTTTCGTTGATGTAATGCGTCGGTACGGAATACTAGACAGAGTTTCAATTTCTGTTCTCAATGATTGTCTAGTATTCAGTTGTGTTAGTTTACCCACTTCTGGCGTCGCGCATATTTCTACAGAAGTAAACAAACAACCACAAAGATAAAAATGTCATGTCGTTATTATTACTACCTACTACACAACGCGTCACTGTGCGCGTATGCCATAACGCATCTCGAAGGGAGGGGGAGGGGGGAAGGGGAGAGATAGTGAGAAAGAGAGAAAGAGAAAGAGAGAGAAAGAAACGCATTATCTTCCTGTGATCTTCTCCTTTCTTTCTCATTAGAATGCGACCTTCATTAAGTGTTGCCGCTAAAAAAGTATATGTGCTCATTTGATTAAAAGATGCGTCTTTTTAGAATTCTAGTATTTTGGAGTAGACCAATAGATATATAAATATCTATATCGATATATGAATAGTTCTCATCCGGTAGATGTTGCTGTCTTAAGACGGCCGTACGGGCGTACGATGCCGAGGGATATTCGTTCCGTCCACATGCTCGCTCTTTCTTTTCAAGATCTGAAAGAGCAATGGACGTCCTTCATGCGATCGTCCGTATCTCCACACAATGGTGAGAAAGAAGTGTTTGGACGAAAAGGTCGTGATTTGGCGGAGCGTTTGTCAAGCCAAATCAAGGCAATTAAACAGGAGCTACTTCATCACCTTAGCACGCTGCTGCATACGAGGCAAGCAGGGACGTGTAGCTCAAAGGATCTTCATACATTTTACGATACCTCGCTGAGCCGGGGTAACACCTCGCCAAAGGCTACGACGCCCACCCATTCTTCCACCCCTCAGAATGATCTGCCCCCGATCTATAAAGGCGATGGAAATTCCGATACGGTGGCGTTTTTCACCTCCCTCTTTTCCTCTCGTGAGGCGTGCGTGGAGAATTGTTTAGAAATACCCTACCTCGAGGCCCTTTGGCTAGCGCGGCGGGTTTGGTTGTGGGCGATCTTCATCGCGATCCTCCTCGCCGATATGGAGCTCCTCTCCGGGAGTCTTTCCTTCGCAACGGGGCTGTACTTCGCGTTGCCGATCCCACCTGGTCGTGGCGGAAACGCTCCTGCGTTTGTAATGTCTTCAACTTCCTACAGCGGTTATGGCGCCTTAACGTATGATACGTTCCGCGCGTACGCGAGGCGGCGTGGTGGTGGTGGGGTTGAGTTGGTCGACTTCTTCGATTGCGATGAGGCTGGCGAGGGTGACCAAGCAGGGGAAACAACGCAGAAAAAGACGAACGAACGAGCGGCAGCGGAAGGGAAAGAGGAGGAGTGGGATGGAATATTCCTCCACGCCGCCGTGGTGCTCTACGCCGTTCTCGCGCGCGATGAGGCGGCGGCCGCTGGCGGGATTCAGCGCTGGTGGGATGCCCTCTTAGCGACATCCGACGCGCAGGCGGGGGAGGCGAGTTTGGCCGTCACCGAAACCCCCCATCCCCTCCTCGACGCGGTTGATTCAAACGCGAAAAGGGATGCCTCAGAGGTGGATAGCCCGCTTCGAGGAGGCGCTTCCCAAGGGGGTGTAGAAAATGAGGAAGAAGTCGCACGTCTCTTCGCGTGGCGAGTGGCATTGGCTGCCGAGTTCGCCGCCGCGGAGGATTACGTTTCACTCAACCGTCTTTTACGCGGCGCGGCGTTTGCCTGCCGAAGATTGCTAATTTCTTCTCCCCAATCGGATCGTTTTCACGTGAACGTAGCGGAGGGCGTGTCGGGGAGCCCTCGTTTGTCGTTTTCCACTTCTACTTGCGCCTGCTTTGCGCTCCAGCTCCTCTACCGCACCCTCGCGGAGCATGTGATCCGACGCCAGTGCATCGCAGGCGATCTTGGCAAGTGTTTTCGCCCGGTCATTTCCACCGAGATTCCCCCTTCCTCCGGGGATAATCGCTCGAATTTCACGTTTTTGACGGATTGCTCACCCCCGTCATTGGATCCTCCCGACGAGAAGCCAATGGGCGCGGCGGATGCTAAAGGATCACGATCAGCTCAACCATCAGATCACCGGAGGAGGGTGGATGTTTTCCTCGAACAGATGCATATCTGCAGTCTAATTCAGTTGACCAGCCTTCGGTCGAAGGAGGGACCTTGGCCTCTGCCAAAATCATTGGTATCATCCGCCTTTAATTTAGTTTACTCGTAGCGTGAAGCGATAGACCGATGCATTGGGTTTCTTCGCCTTCGCAGAGTTCGTGCATACCCAACGTATCCTTTGATGAGCAATTCTCTTAGGCTCTATATATCCCCCTGGACGTTTTCGTTTCCATGATGCTAATCTCACCGATTGAGGCTTGTCTTTTTCTTCTTCCTGGATATATGTTGTGTTTTCTTTTGGTTTTATTTTATTTACTATTGTTGATGATACCAAACACTTGGACAGTTCGTAGAGTCCAGAAGCTACGTAGATTACAGACGTTCACACACACTTTTGCTTCCTTTTATTTACTTATTTATTTCTAGAACTGCAAGAGCATCATTATTCCCTTTCCCATTGCCATGAGATGTTAATCGAGACGTGTGACTTTTTGCGCCCGTCTCTCAAATGCAAGCTGCAGAATGCGGGCATTATTTACGTCGAGGAGCTTCTTTCGTTGGTCTCCAAGGGTGGAAAGGAGGCCGATTCAATAAAAAGCGCATCCGAGAGGGAGAATAAAGTGGAAGGGAATGCCAGACGACCGGAAAGTCATCCAACGAGTTCCTCCAACTTACGAGGGGCGCCTGCGCGCGGGGGGAATCCATCGCCGCCCTCAGGGCTCCCCAACGCGCGCGAATCGGGATCGCCTTTGGCGTGTTTAACAGAAGCCGAACGCGCGGATGTGTGGAGGAGCACCATAGGCTACTTAACCGCGCAACAAACGAAGAAGGAGGGGGCGGCCACAGACGCGGAAGAAGACGCGGAAGCGGAGGAGGAGGAGGAGGAGGAGTTCTTCCCGCCAAGCAGGCGACCGCGGGTTCGCTCGTTGGCGGAGATCTTTCAAGACGAGGCGCGTCGTCGTGGTGGGCGGGCCCGGAAAGGCGGAGCCGACCGCGGCGAAAACGGGAAACCGAAGGCCATGAGCGGGGAAGGAAGAGGCAGAGGAAGCGAAAGGGAACGCGAAAGCGGAGGAGCGCCGCCGCACGCGACGACGTTCAGCCGACGCCTCGACGCGCTTCTTGGCGGGGGGGTGGCGGTGGGGTCGCTCACGGAGCTGAGCGGCCCCCCTGGCGGCGGCAAAACGCAGCTGCTGCTGCAACTCGCCGTGAGCTGCGCGCTCCCCATCGAGCTCGGCGGCCTTCACGGCCGGTGCCTTTTCATCGATACGGAGGGGAGTTTCGTGCGGGATCGATTCGCCGCGATCGCGCGCGCGGCGGTGGCGTTGGTGCGCGGGATCGCCGCGCGG